CAGATCATAAATTTACAGATCGGCAAAAGCAGCCCTTAATAAACAAATTACAGAAGATAAAAAAGAAGCACTATAGAAACTGAAATTGAATAAATTCTCTATACACCACTATATTCCTGCAATATATTATAGGATTTTCCAAGAAATCTTGATGAAATCAGTACCCAGGTCATAAATGAGATATAACAATGTCCTTCTTTGTGGTAAGAGGCTCTTTTTTTAATTTACAAAATAGGAAATGTTCCAACCCACCCAAAGTCTTATAGGCATTTCTTGAGTAGATTATAGTTCTATAGACTGTATTGGCAAAGAAATTAAAGGGCGTTTTAACTGATCCAATACATCCTGCCCTGACTAAATTTGCTCTAAAGCAGGGGTCTTCAAACTTGGCCCTTTTATGACGTGTGGACTTCAACTCCCAGAATTCCTAAGCCGGAGTTGAAGTCCACACATCATAAAAGGGCCAAGTTTGAAGACCCCTGCTCTAAAGAAATATAGAAGACACATTTTGAATGGCACTGAGAATATAAATCAGAAAAAAAAATGACACAAAAAGATTTTGATAAATTGAAATGGCTCTTAACAAACATTACTTTGAAGAAGGTGGACCGTGGTTTGAATTTTTTCACATAAATAAAGGGCATTTATAAAGAACAAGAAGCTAAGATAATGGTAAATGTAATTTATTACAATAATTAAAAGAAATCTGCAAGGTTATTAGTAGGGCAATATTGGAAGAAGGATTGCTTGCCTACTATAGAAGAATGGACGCTTAAAGTTTCAAATCTAGCAGAAATGGCCAAGATTTCTGCTTATTTGAAGGATCATTCACAAGAAAAATACACTTCGGTTTGGAGAAGATGGATAGATTAAAAGGGAGTTAAAGCGCTTTATGGACTTGGTTATTTAAATAGTTGGTTAATGTTAGTTAGATTATGATTATTATATTTGTAACCCTGTGTTCAGCTCTGGGAAGTGGGGGAGAGGGAGGGGGGTTTTGGGGTGGGTATGGGGATTCATATTGTAATTTTTATAAAACTTTTAATAAAAAAAAATAATTAAAAGAAATCTGCAACCAATAAAAGAAAAAAATGGACTAGCAATACATGTTACATTATACTTAGACAAGATAGCTGTCTAACTTAGATTAAAGACCAGATTGTATCACTTATGGCTACATTACTTCTCCTGAAAGAGCAGGATTCCTAGAAGGTTTGCATAAATAACTTGGAATCAAACAGAAATGTGCTATCTGTAAGAGATAATTAATTATAAACAGCACACTAAATATATGGGATAAACACAGAAAAAATAAGTCTAGACTTTTCACTCCTTGCTTTAACATTAATTATTTTCATTAAGGTGAAGTAAAAAAAAAGATTAGTGGAAATTGTATATCATACATGATTTAATTTTTTAATAAAACAAAGATGAAACCTCTCAAGACTCTCTGGAATCATTAAAAATTAAAATGAGTTCAATGATTTTAGTATTTCCAAATAAGCAGCATATCTAAAAGGAATTACAAAAACAAGTGAGTACTTAAGAAATCTGACTGATTTTGAAAAACTCAAGAACATCTGTTGAGGCTTAGTTACAATTCAAAAAGCATACACATTAAAGATTGCATGATGAAATGAATGTAAGCAGTGCAACTGCTAGCAACAATGGGAATATCAACGGAAGACAAATATTAAATTTATTGTGAACATTACACTCAAAAAATCACTATTATAAGATGCTTCAGTGCTGGTATATTACTCTAGTGTTGATTGCTGAAATAAATAAAAACTGCTAGAAATGAAATAAGGTCAGATATCTTTTTCATATTTGGAAGAATGTTATAAAGTACAATAATTCTGGGAGATGATGTATTATAGAATGAAATAAATCTTAAAGGTTGAATTATTTTTCCTGCCAGCTGTTTTATTTCTCCAATAAAGATTACCAAGTTAATATCTTACAAAGTATACAGAATTGGCTTTGTATAGCTGCCAGGATAGTTTATTCTTCCTACTAGAAATCCATGGTATATCTCAATATTCAAGATGTACTTCAACAAAACATACAACCTATTGCCTATATGTGTATGTGTGTGTGTGTGTGTGCCTTACCCACTTACCTTAGGATAGTTGCAGCCAGGCCTCCCACGCCCCAACACCTGCCTTGCCAGCCCACTTCTTCAGCGGCCACTTGCCGCCGCTCGCATGCGTTGTCCCCGGCCTCCATTTCGCCATCAGAGGCCTTTAGGCCAGGGGCGATGCGCGCGAGCAGTGGTAAGTGGCCGCAGAAGAAGTGGGCCTGCGAGGTAGGTGTCGGGGCGTGGAAGGCCTGGCACCAACTGTCCTAAGGTAAATGGGTGTGGGGTGTGTAGGGCAGCTCCACTCCCCCCATCCCTGCCCTAGCTTTTTACCCATGCACCTTCCCTATCTCGTACAGCCAAGTGAGTATGGAGTAGGCCGGGTCTTAAGTAGGCTTATTTTTGGGGTAGGTCTTATATTGGGCACACATGTAAAAATAAAGCTAGGGCTTATTTTCATGGTAGGTCTTATTTTTGGGAAAACGTGGTATAAAAGTTACCACAATATGGATCCTACAGCCAGGCTATTTCTATCCAGGAAGACTATATTATTGTAGACCTACCAGCCTAATTTGACTGATGCCATCATAGGAGACATTTAATAAAAGGATAGCTGAAACTTTAGTTTAAACTTTAAAAAGACTATTCCACAAGGGTTCACTAACCATGCATTTGATCATTTAGGGAGAATGCAGCATCTGCCAAAGAAGGTCAAGTCCGAGAAAGATTAACAACTCCAGAAAGTTTAACCACTCACTAACGCAGGAGTGGGCAACTTCCATGTAGACAAAAGCAGCAGTTTACTTTTCCAACTGGCCAGCAGGCCAATTAAGTGTTTCCATTACCTCACCTTAGTGGCTTTGTAAAATAAACAGATTGAGAGACTTTTAATCCTGTTATTTTAATGCGTTTGCTCAGAGGTTTTCTATTGTTAAATAATATCAAGAATTAAATGAAATCCTGTAGAACCTGAAAAATTCCCCCTCTCCCCATTTAAGAAGACTGTGATCATTTCCTCCCATAAGGTGGATCATATAACCAAGCACAGTGAAGGCATTATTTATCATAAATATAAAATCCTACAGGATGCATTATTCAATAATCTGATTAAATTCTACTGGTTTTCTTTTTTCTTTTTCGTTATGTCTAGTTTAATGAAAAGAAGGAGTAGGGGTGACATGATATACAGTAGCAGTATTCTAATATCTAAGGGATTGCCACAAAGAAAAGGGGGTCAACCCATTCTCCAAAGCACCCGAAGGCAGGACAAGAAGCAATGGGCAGAAAACAACCAAGGATAGAACCAACCTAGAACCAAGGAGAAACCCTCCGACAGTCAGAACAACCAATCAGCGGAATGACCCCCAGAAACCGCGGGCGCTTCATCACTAGAGGCTCCCAAAAAGAGACTGTACATCCACCTGTCTGGAATGGCACAGGGTCCCTCGCCCGAGCAGGGGGGTGCGCCACAAGACCTCCGAGGTCCCTTCCAATTCTGTTATTCTGAAATGTTTTCGTAACTCTGAATTCAACTACCGCAAGTTAAAATGCAGATGAATTCAAGCCACAAGTGATGGGGAAAAAAAAAGTTGCAGTGGAAAATGTGTAAGATCTTTCCGAATCCGTTTGTTAACACGGTCCGATTCCCCAAAAGTACATGCGCTAACTGGTGTGACCCAGTAGCAATATAGATGATTTGCAAAATCCCCTTTTCTGTTCTTGCTGCAGGCTAATGCTGCACTGAAAACGTCCTTGAAAAGTTAGATCAAGGCCAAAGTGCCTTTCGTTCTCCATTCTGTGCCAGTGGCCAGCCAGATGAATTCAGATTGCTCTCATACGTGTATGGTGGTGAGGGTGGGGAGCACTTCTTCTATTGTCTTGTCCCATTGTTCTCTCTCTAGCATTGCATATTTAATGCGGGGGGGGGGGGACATCAAACAATTTAATAATAGAGATAAAGAACAGAAACTGTTTAGATTTTTGCAGTTTTGCAAAGAAGGCAAGTATTTGAGTGCTTAGAGCAGCAGGCTATCTAATACTTCCCTGCTTTGCTTCAACTGTAATTGACTAGCTGAGGCAAATATAGAAGAAAAGGTACATCTAAATACACATTCCAGGGCTGGTTTTATCATCAGAGAGAATAATTTCCTTTCAGTTAGCCTTCTGTCTTCCATGGAAATCGCCGTTTCATCACAACACTGAAGTAAGAGATAACCACTAATTCAGTCAATGTCTAAGCAAAGAAATGGGAACAGGCAACATCTAGTCCAAGGGTAGGCAACCTCGGCTCTTTTATGACTCATGGACTTCAACTCCCAGAATTCCTGAGTCAGCTATGCTGACTCAGGAATTCTGGGAGTTGAAGTCCATGAGTCATAAAAGAGCCGAGGTTGCCTACCCCTGATCTAGTCTATTACAAGCAACAAAATATCTCGACCTCATTCTCACCGAGAATATAGCAATGCAGATCAAGAAAATCCAGACAGACACCTAAACATGAACAACAGCCAAGTGTTGTGTTGTGTTGGTTACATAAATATACCCGCATTTCTCCCCCCCGCATTTCCGTTTTTATCAAAATAATAAAATAAAAATGTGCATTTCAGAGCGTGTAGCCACTGATATTCTGTCACAAAAAGTTTTGATTCTAGCAAAAGATCAGGCCACCAATACAGATGCTTCCTTCTCAGTGTCTAAGAATGAGGGCTATGAAAAACCTTAATTTGCTCTCCCAGATATCCTCACAGATCTAATTGATTACACGGCTTCATAGTGGAGATCACAGCACTATTTTGCAATTAGGGGTTTTTTTTTGATAAGAGCATTTTCAGTTTTCTATTAGAACACTTAGAAAAGGTCAGACTTGGTGGGGCTTCCAAGACAAATCAAGATGGAATCTAGCTAGAAAAGTCTAGCGGTCTTACCTCCTGAGTGAATCCTCTTCTGAAATCTCCTCAGGCATTTCCTGGTTTAAGGCGTCCTGTGATACATTCTCAGGTCTATTTGAAGCAGATTGGCTGTAAATTCTTTCCCAGTGCCCCGTCTCTTGATTAAAGACCCCTCTCACAGTCCTTTCCTCTTGAGGATTAGAAGATCTTCTCAGGGGCAGCCTGCTAGAGGGAGAGGTTCGGCTTTCCATTCTCTCAGAAGGTGGCAGCTGGCTACTGCTGGATGGCACCCCCTCAAATGTGCTTTGGGACTGCCCTGGTGCATAGCTGGGTGTGCTTCTTTCCCAGCGAAGTGTGTCATTGTTAAAAGTCAGCAGGTTGTGACAGGCGCGACAGCGGTTCAGATGCCCCCGTGACAAATTGGAATTGTTTTCACTGCTATGTGGGGTCTGTTGATGAGAAGGACCAGGCCTATCAGGCTCAATGTTGTTATTAAGCATTTCCTGGGCCTGATGTGACTGACTAGGTTCACCACTTATCCCCTGATCTAGTTCTTGAAGCCTATCATATTCCAAGAAGAACCGCCTCAAGTCACACTGAAGCTCATTGCGAAGGCTGGCTGGATTGCTTGGGCCAGTACTACTGGTGCTTTCTGCTTCAGCTTCAGGAGGAGCTGGGAAACCCCTCCCTTCTGTAGCTGAAGTATATACAGAGGATTGGGAACTTCCTTCCTGCTGTCTCAGTACCGACAACAAACTCACTGAAGAGGCACTGGTTCTAGGAGGAGGCATACCTTCCAGCTCAGAGCGAGGGCCCATATTTAACACTGTTCGAGTCCACTCAGAACCCTCCAACCCTGAGGCCATCTGTCTTGGGTGGATCCTGGACGGATGGCCTGACAAAGACCCAGTAAGGGATCTACGAGTGGGGCCCAGGCTAAAGTTGCGCAGGGTGTTGCCAGCAGTACTGCTCTGAACAGTGCTGAAAGCAGATGGTCGATTAAGGAGTCCCTGCTCCTGCTGTGTTGAAGAGGCCTGCTCCTGGGGTTGGTAAGGTTCCATTTGCACAGAAGAAAAGGAAGTGCCAGTGGACCCAGAGGATGTGGAAGGGGCGTTGTCCTGGGATGGGAAGAGAGAAGATGGAAGTCTTGCACTAGAACATCGCCTGCAAAGGCACAAAACCCCCAGATGCTGGCAACATTTTACTGAGGGGTAATTGACAGGCTCACTGAGGCCATTATAGGCAGATGCTCTAGAGGTTTCACTAGCTGGAGGTGGTGGTGGTGGAGGAGGAGGAGGAGGGGGAGGTGGTGGGGGAGGTGGTGGGGGAGGAGGAGGCGGGGGAGGAGGAGGAGGGGAGGGTGTAGCAGAGTCTTGCATGGCGTTTTGCTCTCCCACCTGGATACCAGAAGAGCGTGATGACAGCATATGCAGGAAATTATGAAGGAGTGGTGTGCGTCTCACTGGTTGAGATTGGAGAATGGAACGTTGACGATAATGTGGTATTTCTGTACTATCCACAGGTATTTCCACCTCCTCATCGTTCTGCAGAATAAAGCGCACACAATCAATCAACTCATGGGGGAGGGAACGGAAGATAAAGCAGAAAATGCTTTTCTTGAGTTCGGTAAAATTATTAATAATCTTTCATTAGACTGATCAGTGAAGATTCAGAAAATTCCATGGAATAATGCTGTAAATTCCCACAAAGATACAGTAGAGTTCTTTCAAAGAAAGCAGTGCAGCTAATAGGGCTCAAAAAGCGATCGGCACAAAGAAAGCTTTGGGGCCCCCAACATGCAATATGGTCGTGGAAATATTCCTATTAGCTCAGCCATACATTTCACGCCTTAGTTATGTATAAGCTTGTCTTTTATCGGGTCCTCCCATTCTGTACCAAAGACTAAAATGGATAGTCACCCATTCAAATGCTTTCAGATTACTACCAAGAGTTTTAAAGATTCTGGTTCATGTTATTCCAGACTAGTCTGTTTAAAAAATTGCATACATACCGGTAGCTAAATTAACAACACAGATAACTATATTATGAAGCATCTTCATGCTACATCCAAAAGCTGAAGCTTCTCACAGACAAAATATTTAATGTCTTCCAAATGGTTCACAAAACAATTACCTGCTGGTTGGAAGGGTTAACAATTGCTGTGAGTAAATAATGCCCAAGGGGATCAAATCGTACTAGTCTGAAATAGAAAGGAAGATATAATTTCAACTCCAGCTATTCAAGACAATAATATCTACAAGTTCTAACAAACTTGCCACATTTCTAGTTTTTGAAAGAAAAAAGTGCCTGATTTTAGAAATCAGATCGCATCTAACTCTCTAAGCAGCAACACTTCTGCAAAATAAGATTTTCAGTTATCGTTTCAGAGTCAGTTGTACACACACACAAAAGCCCCTATATTTCAGAGATTGTTTCTAATTTATAATTAGAATAGTTTCAAGTTACACACGCTATATAGAAGTTGTTTAAAGTAAATGATCATTTCAAACGTTAATGTTAGTTAATTTAATTCAACATGATGCATTTATTACCTTTTGTGCATTGGGTAATTGTAGGATTGTTACTGGGATCACCTACTTTTTTCTGGCTTTTATTGGCTTAACCTAAAGGACAACCTCCAAAAGAACCACCATTTCATTCATTTTTCTCCTTTCAAACCACTAATTCCTAGATAAGCACAATTTTTGCAGAGCAGTTTCAAGCAGTCTTTAGTTTTCAAGTTCACCAAGATTTATTTTGTAATTTGATCCTATCAGCCAGATAGTTGGGCTTTTGATGCCTCTGGCTAACAAAATATCCAGAGTAATATTAAATCAGTAAAGCAACTGCCTTTTTCTCATTTAATAAATATGTACGCCTACTTGCGTATTCTATGTGCCTCAGTTTCAGCTATGTCATTCAACATATTACATACCGGTATTGTTGCCCAAGTACCTTGCTGTACTACTTGTGAAAGGCTATAGTTGTTAAAGAAGTGTAACAGGATAGGTGAGTTGGAACTCATTAAAAATGGCTTATCTGATCTAGATAAGCAATGCTACTTCAGTCTCACTTTATTTCAGATAAAAAAATATAACAGTAGGCAGTTGCAGCTATGAATTTGAATAGAACTATTGGTAATTCTCAAATTTGAGTACTAACCACCACTTCTGAACACACTCTTCTTTTGGAAAACTCAGAATAGCTTATGTATCACTCCCTGATAATTTCCAAACTACAAACCATCATCATGTGCTAATATCAAATTTAACACCGAAGCCAATGTAGCGATCTCCCATAGTACATCCAGTTTGTCAATTACTCATTCTCATTTTTGATCTATAAATATACCTCAAGTGGTTTTATCTGAGGATTTCTTCTAACAACAGCTACTCCTCTACTTCCTTGTTAACTAGATACACTCCCAGGATTACTCACCGGACACGCTCCATTTCGCTAGCTGTTTTCACAACCGCAAAAGGCTCCCGGCGACTCCAGTCCCAGAAGTGAATCTCATTGGCTGTTGCAATTAGCAGAAGTTGGGCCGTTGGATGAAAAGCCAAGGATGCAATGGCATTGTTGCTATCTGTAAACCAGCTCTCACTTCCACCCTGAGAGCAAATCAGTGTAGAGTCACCAATAATTTTGAAACAAAAAAAAAAAAGTCAAAAAGAAAGTAACCTGTCTAAAACATGTTTCTATTCTCTCTCACCTTTAGCTAGATCTAGAATTGAATAAGGATCAGTACATATCCTTTCTTTTTTTTTTAATCACACAGGCCCCCATCCTGCACAGTGAAACTAGGATTCTTTACTTCATTTACCACAAGCACATTGCAATATATTGTCTATAGAAGTTACCTAGGAATTATCACACATTCTAGAGAAATGAGAAAAAAGTCATTTGAGTTGACACAAACATTTCAGCTATGCTGCACTAGAGAAAAATAATCATGAAAAATACCCATTCGTGCAAGAGTTTTATTTAAAGACTTTTTTTAATATATAAAACCAATCCAGAATCCACCTGATGTTTCCTTACATATTTAGAATGGAAAGGGATGTACACTCAAAGCAGTAACTCCCCCATGACCAAATCATCCATGCATAAAAAGAGAAATAGACGTGTGCTAGAAGGAACTTACATGCAAATCCCAGATTCTAACCTCTCCATCAAGGCACCCTGAAGCAATGAGCCCTGGGATAGTGGGATGAAAAGTTACACACCATGGTGTGCGTCGATGTCCAACTAGCGAGTGAACACACTTGCCCGTTTTCACCTCTGTGATGTAAATATTATGGTTCACATGAGTTGATGCCATGAGAGTCCTGCAAAAAAAAAAGACACTATAAGCAGTTAACTGAGGAGGGGAGGAGGAGACCCTTACTTAAACATCACAGCAAGAACTGTGGTGGAAATTAGTCTTCCCCAACCTGACACCTCCAAATACCTTAAACCAGAGCTCTCATCACGTCAATGTACACAATAATGGTCAAGTTGACTTGAAAGTATAAGCTGAGATTATCGACCAACACTTCTTGAGAGCTCAACTTGGGGAAGGCAATAATAAATTAGCCTGTTTTTAATTTAAATGTGTAGGATTATTCACAAACTGGAATTATAGATCTTTTCAAAGACAGTAGTTATTTTAGCATTTCAAAGACAATTATTATGCAATGTTTGTTTTTATGATCATTTCATTCTTCACTTTAGTCACCTTAAATGTTATTTTTTGGTGGAAAGGCATAACACACTTCAAATTTTCAAAGTCTGGAAAAGACTGATTGCCAAATGTATATTTAGAACATAATAAAAAGCAACTAAATAAATAAACAAATAAATATTACCTGTCTGGACTGAATGCTAGCAGAAAAGTGGAGCGTGGACTATCCGGCAACTCAACTTTCTGGAAGTTAAAAAGTACAGAACATTTTCTAAGTTCAAAGTACATGCTATACGTACAATCATTTTTGCTTTACGAAATCAAAATTGGGAAAATCAGACATGTTCTTAAAACTTCCATTCATTATATCATTTCAAAAAGGCTTTAAAACTAACACATATATGATAGCAATTAATCCAAATCTATTCACTCTGCAAGTACAGTACATTGAACTATCTACAAGCAAAACACTCATACACCACAGCTCACTGAAAACTACATTCTTTATATAATTAAGGATGTGTCAATCCAAAATGTCCCCATATAAGGGGTTCCCCTAACCCTAACCAATCTGCTCAAACTGAAGAAGCTACTTGGATGAGCAGCAAAACATTTCGAATCAAGAAGAAAAGAAGTCCAGTTGCCATGACTCAATTTCCAGACAACTCTACCTGGATGATTCAGAATCTTCATTGACATGCCTCCATATAAAGCAGGAAAACATTAAAATCCTTTAGAATTCCTGCCAATTGTCTCACCTTGCCTTCCCATTTCATCCAACGGGTTTTGTCTTCAACCAACTCCTGCAAAAGACGCTGTGCTCCCAAAGCTTGTGTTCCACGTTCTCGGCCCCAAAGGATTCGCACGGCATTCTTTTCTGGTACAACCTTCATGATTTTAGTGCAAAAAATGAGTCACTGACAGACACTCAATCTCAAGTGCCAAGGATCTACAGAAAGGCCATCCACATCTCGCAAGTCTATCTTCATGGAAATCTAGATAAGAGACATTTCAAAACAGTCAAAAGACAGAAGTTTCCAAGGGTCAGTACAGATACATACAGTATAGAATTCATGCATTTATGAAGTAGTTGTTTTTAATTGCATAGCACTACATAGGAGAACAAACCCATCAGGACAAGATTCAGCTGTCCATCTGCATTTAAAAGACAAAGGCCACTCTTTTGAAGACAGCGAAGTCCACATTTTAGACAGAGAAAACCACTGGTTTGAAAGAGGGGTCAAAGAATCATCTATGTCAAAATTGAACATCTATCTCCAGTCTACAACACAGTCCTTTCAGCATTTCCAAGAAGGCTCTATACCCATTTGCATTACTCAAGTAAACCTGAGGACACAAACTTCCAAGTGGTCTCAACCACTCTCTAAAAGAATGCAAATGACCAGCTGTTTGCAAGGAATATAAATCCTTCCATTCCCCACCATTCAATCAGAGCCGAAGAACCTTCTTGGATGAGAAGTGAAACATCTTCAAAGAAAAACAAGAAAGCCCAGTTGCCTTCTTGAAAATGCACCTTTGGGACAACCATGACCTGGATGACTGAGAATCTCCATAGACATCAGGCTAGAAACCAAGAGACTGTGAATTCTAGTTCCACTTTGGCCATAAAAGCCAACTGGGTGACTTTGGGCCAGTCACTCTCTCTCAGTCCAACCCACCTCAAAGGGTTGCTGTTGTGGGGGAAAATAGGAGGAGGAAGGTATGTTGGATATGTGGGCCACTTTGAGTTATTTGTAAAAACAATAAAGGCAGGATATAAATAAGATCATTTTGTTAGACTGGAAATACATAAGGAATCAAATCCCTGTTTTTTTTATCTAATACTTATTTCATGATAATTTTGTAACATGGACATTCCAATCACGTCTTTAATTTCAATAAAGGTAGGGATCAGTTTGCATTGTTCTTTTTGAAACATTTTGCATACAATGTATTATCTAGAATGAAATCAGATAATTTTAGAATTTATCCTCAAAATTGTCTCACTCAATAAGCAATGTAGCCAAACACACAGAAAAATGAAGTCCTCTAGTGTGATAATGCCTGTTTCTATAAAAGGTGAATTATTCATTTCCAGAATTTTCCTGTAGGTTTTGCCCACAGAAATAAGTGATGCAGCAGATGCCACATAACAAGTGGAAGTAAAATGTAAGCTTTAATTAGATTATGAAAGCTTACAGAAAAAAAAAATAATCATATCAATTTCTATAAACAACCAAAAAGGAAACTGGAGAGTTCTTATTACCATCTTAAACTCATTGAGGACTTCCAAACTGCTAACCTAGACACCAGCCGTTTATGAAGGATAATATTTTTAATTAGCCACAAGAGAAATTTTCCTTGTTAAACAAAGCTGATGGAGTTCTTAAATGAATCTTCTGCAGAAATTACTGTTCTCTGATAAAATAAATTCAAAATTCTCAAACTTTTATTTTTTACAGATTCTATAGCCTGAATAAATTTTCTCCAAGGTCCCTAAAACTGTAACACAGAATTCTAGTAATTGTACAAAGCTCGTTTAGTCGACATAATGTTTAATGTTTTATTTCTTAGTTGCTGTAAGTCACTTTAAGTGCTTATACAAATATAGAGGTGTGGTATAAATCTTATGTATTTCAAAGGATATAGTTGCTAGTTTAATTTCTACATCAGTAAACAACTTCTTCAACTTAAAAGCACTTGAAATAAGTATTTGGCATGTCTTGGAGGAGTTCTTGGCCAAATATGGGTATGTTAAGTCCTCTTTTGTTTCATCAACTGAATGTAAGCATGGTTAAATCTTTACTTTGACTAAAAATTGCAAGTTGGTGGCTAAATATTCCTACTGTTGAAAAATACCCTCAACATAAATTTTTCATCATAGATCAGGCTCACAAAAAAACTTTGGTTATAGAAAATAGCATTCGGAATTAATAAAGTCTCTATGTCCTCCTAGTAAAGCAGGAATTAATGGATTTCTGAATTATAAACAAAATAATCGAAGAAAGACGTGAAGAAAAAAATAAGCTTTTACTATACTTCATAAAATGAGAAATCAGAGATGTAAGAAGGCATTTTTGTAAACAAGTTTCTTATTAATAGCTTCTGTTGGAACAAACTAAGGAAGGCAATAAATAAACTTTCCCAATCAGAAAGAACATTCCATTACACAGATATTAGGAAAACTACTTATTACACAAGATACCTAACTATAGAACAGTGTTTATCAACCTTGACAATTTTAAGGCATGTGGACTTCAACTCCCAGAATTCCACAGCCAGCATTGCTGGCTGTGGAATTCTGGGAGTTGAAGTCCACATGCCTTAAAATTGTCAAGGTTGAGAAACACTGCTATAGAACATACTTCAAAGATTAAAATACTGAAAGATATGAAAAATGTAGTCTAAAAGATTATCATCTCTGGAAAACAGTCCTCTCTTATAAGCAATTACATTTAAGTGCTGACAATTCAGCCAATACACTGAGTACCCTGAATCTCATGTCTGATGTCTCACTTTTCCTTACTCTATGTCAGGAGTCCCCAATCTATGGGATGCGGCCTGATACCGGGCCACGGGCTCTTGGTCAGCGGGCCGGAGAAATGGCTGGCCACTCATGGGCTCACATTTCCCCCCCCTCACACTAGCACCCAGAGCTGTATTTGTGCATGCACACGGGCGCAAACGGGAACGCTAGCATGGAGGGGCGTGCACCCGTTTTGCATGTACGAACGGGCCACTAGCATGGGGGGGTTGTAGCCCTTTGCATATGCGCAAATGGGCACTGCGCCAGTGGGCGTGGGCCAGTTTGCGTGCATGCACACACAGAAATTGCTGCTCTCCCCTCCGGGCCGTGAGCCCAGAAAGGTTAGAGAACTCTGCTCTATGTGGTGATTTACTTTTATAGAAAATCTTTTTAGTATATATCTAGAGTTTCATAGAACAACATTCAATCATACAGGTAGTCCTCGGCTTACAGCCATTTGTTTAGTGATTGTTCAAAGTTACAATGGTACTGAAAAAATGACTTATGACTGTTTTTCACATTTTCTACCATTGCAACATCCCATGGTCACATGATCAAAATTCAAGCACTTGGCAACTGGCATGTATTTATGACAGTTGAACTGTCCTGAGGTCACATGTTCACCATTTGTAACCTTCCCAGCCAGCTTCCGAAAGCAAAGTCAACGGGGCAAGATAGATTTACTTAACGACCACATGATTCACCTAACAACTAGTAATTCGCTTAACAACTGTGGCAAAAAAATTGTAAATTGGGGCAAAACTCACTTAACAACTGTCTTGCTTAGCAACCAAACTTTTGGATCAATTGTGGTCATAAGTTGAGGACTACTGTATCTATGTTTATTTAGAAGTATGTCCCACTAAAATCATGTGTAATTTCATCAGATGAGCTGCTAACTTTAAAAAAAAAACACTTTTTCAGAACTGTTAGGTTCCAACTTTCATATTCTTGAATGTACAGAGGCCTTTTTACTTTATTAAAATTGATTCATTATTCATTTGCCCATTCCTTCATCTTGCAATAGATCTGGCAGAGCTATAATGCATTGGTCAATAGCCTGTATAAATATTTCTGCAAATTAAACCTCTCAATACCATCATTTAACAATAATTTATGTATGTTATAGTTCTAAAATATTTATCTTCTGATTCTTGCTGACTACTGCATGATGCATCTCAAATACATGAGTCTGATTTCTGGGGAAGAAATGGCAAACTGAAGACATTAAAAAGGGAAGCTGACGATTGCAGTGGAATGAAGAGCCAGCAAGTAGACTGACTCTTTGTAATTCCTCTACAAAGTGAAGACTTGAGATCATCCATAAGTGCTCCATAAATCGCTCCTAGTGAGGAGACTGCAAGATTGTGGTCCCCAGTAGGTTTAGAACAGGGGGCCCCAACCCCCGGTCCATGGACTGGCACCAGTCTGCGGCATGTCAGAAACCAATCCACATAAATAAGCAAAGCCCCATCCACATGATGCAGGCAGTATGTGGTACCACGCACCCTCCAGTCTGTAGAAAAAAACTTCTCTTCACAGAATCAGTCCCTGGTGCCCAAAAGGTTGAGGGCCACTGATTTACAGCTCTTGAAATGAGGAAAAGTCATTTTTGCTCAAACCACAGTGACACCTTTATGGGCATTAGGTCCATATACTTCCTTTTCTAATCACTGTCAGAAATTGCTTGTTAATTGCTTTTCAGCTATTTGGAATCTGGTGAGTTTCTTTCAATCCCAAGTGAAAGAAGTTTTAAGTATAATTTAAGGACTTTTTAAAAAAGAAAATCTGGAATAAACAGCAAAAGAGTCATTAAAACTTTGATTTTTAGAAAGTTATAAATGGACTGGGGATCCATATGATTTTGGAATAAATTTTAAAGAATCCTTCCAATCAGAAAATATTTTTTGAATCCCTTAAAAACATGACAGGATGGGACTTTGAAGGTTGCACACTACAGTCCTTGACTTACAACAGTTTACTTAGTGACTTTTCCAAGTTGCAACGGCACTGAAAAAGGTGACTTATGATTGTTTTTCATAAGCATCCCCATGGTCACCTGATCAAAATTCAGATGCTTGGCAACTAGTTCATCCTTATGACAGTTGCAGTGTCCGGAGTTATGTGATCCCCTTTTGCAACCTTCTGACAAACAAAGTCAATGGAAAAACCAGATTCACTTAACAATCTTGTTATCATTTTAAGAAATGCAGTGATTCACTTAACAAATGTGGAGAGAAAAGTTGTAAAATGGAGCAAACTCACTTAACAAATTTCTCACTTAACAACATAAATTTTGGGCTCAATTGTGGTCATAAGCTAAGAACTGGATACACAAATGAAACTGGCATATAAAATAACAAACCAAAGAGTGACCTGGATATCTATCCTATATTGGATTTAC